CAGTGAGAGGGGATTTGTTGGCACGATGCACACACATGTGATGAAACAGATTGATTTTTGTTAGCATCTCTCAAAGAGCTGTAATTTTTTTTTTCCATGACACTGGCTTTTGAGCGTACTCTCAGTTTATGAGATTAGATGTTGCTTTCTCTGGCCCGAACACCCTCAAAAATGTTAGCAATTTTTATGTGAGGGAAGACTAAAGGAACTGACAAGTGCACATTCTCACGGGTAATTTTTCTTGACGCTCCTCGGTGTTGTCAATTGTGAGCCTTCGCCAGCCATAGGGTACCCAGAAATGCTGAGCTCTAACTTGCTTTCCCCACTATCACCACCAGAGGGCGCCAGAGCTCCAGTAATCCGCAGTAGCCGCGCATTTGCGAAAAAGACAATCCCAACTATTGGAGTTTTCCACAGCTTTTCACAAGAACATAGCTGTGCCTGGTGAAGAATGTCCACTTCTTGAAGGCGAAATGAAATGCCAGGCCATCGAGGTGTACTGTCTGCACAGAGCACAGTGCCCTGAATTATTTCTTTCTGAAATAATTTGGCCCCAAAACATCTTACTGTAAAGAAATACTTACAATCAAGAAATGGGAAACTATTGGTGAAAATTACTTTGCTGTCCAGTGACTTTACAGGTTACATTGAGTAAAAAAATAGGTCACTTATATAGAAAATTATTCTCCCCTGCCATGTCTATAAATGAGTATTGAAAGAACAATGCACTGGATCCATCTCTTTCTCTATTAAACTCTGTAAAGCTCGCTGGGCCTGTAGTTCTTCTACTGACAGCTGTGTAAGATGTCACCGTGAGGCGAAACTGGGCAAAGGCACCATACGTGGGACCTTTGTGCTAGCCCTCAGCCCTGTATATACTGTTTTTCCCGATATATGTGAACCATGAAGTATAATTTATCACTTGGGCGCAGGGAGAGAATAACGGTCACTAATCAGAACAGTTACAGCTCTACCATCATAAATGTGAATGTGCTCTCTCTCCCTCTTACAGGGTCTTATTTTACCGTACTCACCCCTCTTGTGAGATAAAACACCTACCTGAGGCGATGAGGGGGAGTGATGTCAGCATTGTGACCTTAGCGTTATGACGTCAGCATTATGACATCAGCGCTGTGATGTAGCACCTGCCGGCTGCTGACATTCTGATGCTGCCGTGTGAGGAGGAGCCTCTGCTTCAGGAACGAGGTTACCCAGCAGATCACAGTAACCCTGGATAAGGGGAGACTACTGATTATCTTCCTTTTCTTTAGAGAGCAGGGGAGGGGCAGAGGGGGAGAGAGAGAGAGAGAATCTTAAGCAGGCTCCACGCCCAGCACTCAGTCCATCCCTGGCTCCATCACACCACCCTGAGACCATGATCCGAGCAGAAATCAAGAGTCGGTCACTTAAGATGGCCAAGTGCTCCACTACTGACTTTTTTTTTTTTTTCGTAGGCAGACAACTTTAACGGGTAAAGAAAGATCTTACAATCTCTTATTACGAGCAGACCAATAGCCCAAGAAAACTTTGTTCTTTTAACAGAAAGAAACCAAATTCTTATTTTGCCCCAGCTTACTTTTCATATTAAAACTCATTTACTGGGGTGCCTGGGTGGCTCAGTGGGTTAATCCTCCGCCTTCGGCTCAGGTCATGTTCTCAGGGTCCTGGGATCGAGACCTGCAACAGGCTCTCTGCTCAGTGGAGAGCCTAATTCCCCCTGCCTCTCTGCCTACTTGTGATCTCTCTTTCTCTGTCAAATAAATAAGATCTTTAAAAAAAAAAAAAAACTCATTTACTTAAATTTATTTTAATCTTAGCCAGTCTCGACTACACACAAAATTCCTTCCTAAAGATTTCTTTTCCATAAACCTTCTATGACTTGTTGTTAATTTAATTTTATTTTATTTTAAAGATTTTATTTATTTGTCAGAGAGAGAGAGAGAGATCACAAGCAGGCAGAGAGGCAGGCAGAGACAGAGGGAGAAGCAGGTTCTCTGCCGAGCAAGGAGCCCGATAAGGGATTCGATCCGAGGACGCCAGGATCATGACCTGAGCCGAAGGCAGCTGCTTAACCAACTGAGCCACCCAGGCGTCCCTGTTGTTAATTTTATTAACATATAATGTATTATACGCCCCAGGGGTACAGGTCTGTGAATCTTCAGTCTTATCCAATCCACAGCACTCATCATAGCACACACCCTCCCCAGTGTCCGTAAGAGGCAGGGTGGGGGTTCGTGGGGGGTAGGGAAGGAAAAAAATGAAACAAGATAGGATCCGGAGGGAGACAAACCATAAGACTCTTAATCTCAGGAAGCAAACTGAAGGCTGCTGGGGGGTGGGAGGGAAGGGATAGGGTGGCTGGGTTATTGACTTTCTAATTAGTAAGGAAGAGCAGTGGGGAAGCTTTTATGACCTGTTGCAGTGTTGTAGGAATATTTCATTATCAGAAAGGTTATTGAGGATTTTAAGCAGACAAATGACCAGGGGAGGGAAACAATAATGTGATACACCAACTTATATAAATATTTAGAACTTGATGGAAAAGGTGTTCAGTAAATACTGGTTTAATTGAATTTATTGCTGTGATATAATCAAGTGCAAAGAGCTGATGTTTGTGAACTATCGATTTTAAGTTGAAAGTTATAAATCACGTGATAGAGCTGTGTTTCGTGCTCCTCGTCTCTTAGTCCCCTGATTAGGTTTCTAATGTGTTACCTTGACCACTGTCACTTTCTGGGTAAGGACCCATGGTGCTGTCGGATGATTCTGCAGTCTTCTGTCCTCTCCAAACACCACGGACACTGTCGAGCTTTTTCTGAACTGCTCCCAGAAGGAAGCAGTGGTTAAGAAATCTCATGACATTTTAAGTTCTGGGAAGCAGCTACACTTCGGGATCACCCCCCCACACACATTCCAGGAACTAAAGGTTTCCGTCCTTCTTCATGATTTCCATGTTCACCTCTCTAAAACCCTAAGCCTTCTTCCTTTTGAGACATTCTTCTGCAGAAATGAATGTTCTCCCAATTACAATGGCCAGAAGAAAACCCTCTTTCATTCGCTGGTGCGTTTTGTCTTGCACACCAACTTCCAGCCAAACTTTTATTACTTGATTTTTTTTCCTCGTCCTTTTTATTTCACATGGTTAAAATGAGGGCAGATTTTCCTATGCTTTTCATGGTCATTAAGAAGTTAATCTATCTGACTGAGCTAAGAAATTGGCCTTTTTCCATTTTTACTAGAAAACCAGTGGAGTAGACTCACCACTTTGCATCAAGGGAAGTAACTACCTGACTTGTTCTAGAATTACACGTAAGGGGGGGGGACATGTCTTCGCTGAGACACTTTAAACTCTGAACTGTTCAGCTCTGTTGCCTCAACTCCCCTCCCCGCCCCCACCCCGCACATGCCCAACACGTCATCGAAACAATAAAAACCTGCTATATTACAAAAATGCTAGAGGGTCCTTTTCCCATACATGCTTATTTCTCGCAGCAGTTCTGAGAGAAAGTGATGATCATCCCCATGTTTCTGAGGAGAACGGACAGCCTGAGGGAGGAGCAGATACCAGGTCTTGGATATTGGCTTTACCACTAAATGCCCTCATGACCTCGGGCAAGTTGATCTCGGTTTTCTTGTCCTTAAAATGGGAATGATAATAGCATCTCCCTCACGGAGCTGCTGCGAGCTCACTAACGGGGAGTTCAGTCAATGCCAAGCACATACAACTCGATCCATCTCAGACATGAGGTGTGGGCAGGCGACTCCGCTAGGAAAGTGAGTCTCACTTACGCAGGTTCACACAGCTGCAAAGTGACCGAACTGGAATCCTAACCCACATACTTCTGACTTCAAAGTTGGCAACTCTTTCTGTTACATAACCCTGCAGTAGCTGAGGTTTTCCGTAAGATTTTATATACACATTTTGATGGCAAAGACGTGTAGTAGAGTTACCAATAAAAGACTTTTGAAAATAGAACTATCTGTACTAGTACCCATTAGGATAAATCCTATTGGGGAAAAGGAATGTAAATATGATTTTAAGAAGAAAAAGGAATAGGGGCGCTTGGGTGGCTCAGTGGGTTAAAGCCTTTGCCTTCGGCTCAGGTCATGATCTCAGGCTCATAAACCCTTATCAATTCAAGATATACAGGTTTGTTTTTGTAAGGCACCAAGATGTTGCTACTGCTCATGACAGCAAAACTAACATGATGCAACACATGTGGTAAAAACTTTCAAGTAAAGCGAGAAAAGGAGGCAAAATTGAAGGCAGTGGAGAGGGAAGAAGTTGTGATCCAGAAGAGATAGGGGAGGGAGGCTTGTGGTATTGGTTACAGAGGTGTGTGCTGTGTAATTTTTCAATGAACTACTACAAATATTTTGTGCACTTTTCTGTGTTCCTTTTCCCCAACTACAAACATCAGATCAGCAAAAGATATTCTCCCAATCCCTATTTAACATTAAATTAAATTTAATGTTAAATCAATTTAAATTTAAATTAAAATATTCCCCCAATCCCTATTTAACATTACTTAATATTAAGCATTATCATCAAGCGATATTACTGAGATACCAGTCTAAGCAAATGGAACTAAAAGTTACTCATCACACTCATTTTCTTGCTTTTCATTAATTCATTCAATATGTATTAAATGTCCCCTGTGTAGAGCTAGGGATCAAAAAAAAAAAAAATAAACATAGCTTTCTGCATCATGAAACTGATGTGTATGTACACTTGTATGTATCAGGGAGCCAATGAGATTATGTAGGGGAAAAATAAAGGGACTGGGGAGGACCTGGGGAAATAATCCAGGGAGAGGGATAAAGAAGTGTGTTGATTGGGCAACAGGAACCTGCGTGGTGAGCAGGAGGGTCAGCAAGGTAGTCAGTGGTGGCTGCGCGGCTTGTGCGTTATCTGCTGGTGTGCTTTCTGTGGCACAAATTCTGCGTTCGCTCCTCATATGGAAGCCATGGCGTCCCAGCTCTCAACTGTTTATAATTACCTGTACTCAACAGTCTGACTCCCAGGAATTTCTTCCAGGTCCAAACGCAGGACAACACTAGATCAAAGTAGGGCAAGAGCTTTCAGCAGCATTCACTGAGGTCTTTTGCATATCTGAACTGCATTGAGTGACACAAACAGCAGCAACCAGGCCAAAAAAAAAAAAAAAAAAAAAAAAAAAAGGAAGAAGAAAATCAATAGAAACTGAGTACCCCTTTACTGAAACTTAAAAAAATAAAAATTACTCTAAGGAGGGAATACTAGGTTTGCCAGGTAACTCTAACGCCTGATAAGTTGCTTTAAAAATCTGACTCTTAAATCCTAATATGCTCACCTTCAGAAAATCCTGAATGCCTAGACACTACAGGTAAGACCCCCCCACACAAAAAAATAAATATAAAAAATAAAAATATATTAAAAATATAAAAAAATAAATAAAAATAAAATTATATATAGATATATATGGTGTTCAAAAGAATCAATGGGAGCATAAGTAAAATGTGACAGACTAGCTATGCAAGGAAGATTTATGCTCCTTGCTCATCTCATGGTTGTTTCTGGAAAGTGAGCACCCAAGAGAACAGTGTCCTTCCCCGACACTCCCTGCACCTATTCACGGTTCTGCAATTAGTTCTCACCCCTGGAATCTGACTCAGTGACACTTCTGGGCCAAGCTAATTAAACAGGTAAGATTCCTCCACTTTTCACTTGGTCCTGATCAGTCAGGTTGAAGGGCTGTGAGCCCGGGGATGGCCATCCTAGGATGGGACATCCCTGGGTCCTTCAGTCACACCATGAGGAAAACTGCCTGGACACCATCTTGGCTCCTTGCAAAAGCAAGAAAGGAACTTACTTGCTTGAGCTACTCAAATTTTGGAGTTTAGCTATTACAATAGCTAGAGTCATTTTAATTAACACAGAGCACTTGAGCTCTCCAATGCTGAGCTGACAGCTGATTGGACAACAATCAGGTTGCCGTCAACCTCATCCAACGTTAACAGCACTTGTAAGCCTTTAAATGCAGGTGAACAGGATTCCCACGGTAGTATAGTCTCTGCATACGTAGTACAGTAAGGGAGTCTTTTTTTTTTTTCTTTAATTATTTGGAGCAAGAGCAGGCACAGAGGAGGAAGGGGGCAGAGGGAGAGGGAGAAGCAGGCTCCCCGCTAAACAAGAAACCCAATGCGGGGCTCCATCCCAAGACCCTGGTATCGTGACCTGAGCCGAAGGCAGCCGCTTAACAGACTGAGCCATCCGGGCGCCCCAACAATTAGGGGAGTCTGAAAAGCAGCAGGGAAGACAGCAGCAATGGGACAAGCCCTAAGCTTCTCAAACCCACAAAACTTGGGGGCCTCTTCTAATGGAATCTGGTTCCCTCTAAGCCCAAATCACCTTGCTCTGGACCCCTTGGAGCAGCTCAGAATCCTCCTCCTCCAGATCCAGCCAGCAGGTTCCTTCCGGCCCTTCGTACTCACCTCCTTTCCCAGGTAGGTTACAGCCCTTCTGAGCCTCCATGGGAGTGGGGCCAAGGACATGGACATGGTGCCATTTAGGAGCAGAAACTTTTTGTCTCAGGTATCCGGTGCTCACCAGAACCTTTACTCTTCTACTCCCAGATGCCTGTTTCCAACTATACTCAAGAGATGCACCAGTGGGATGTGTATCAACTACACATATTCCAAAGGAGAAATGCTTCTTTGCTGTCAAGTGGGAAGGAAAGGCCCAGCTGAGAAGCTACTTTAAGCTTGAGGTCTCTTCAAGGCAGAGCAGGGCACACCTATTCAAGCGATACATTTTCCTTCTGCAGGGATAACCCGTTAATCAGGCAACAGTTTAATGAGCCCTGAATTCTTGCTTTAACCTACCACTTGGAGAGTAGATGATGAAAGAATATAAGGGTAAATGCCTAAGATTAAAGTTCTGACACAGGGTTGCCCAGGTTTGGAGAAAACGAGCAAAAGCAAAATCTAGCTTAACTTTTATCATCCCAGATAACCTATCCTTATGTTAAAAAAACAATAAAAGTACCCTCTAAACTCAGCTGATTCCCTACCCTTAAAAGAGTATTTCTACAGTCTTGGTTGTCTTGAGTTTTCTGGTAAACGTTCTACATCTTGTTAAAAACTCCTCTTTTGATATAAAAAGGAAAACTGCAATTTCTACAACCTCCTAGGTTCCGTGCAAGCCCCTTGGGCCAGATGTGAGGAGTCAGCCAAGCCAGCCCACGTGCCCAAGCTGGTAGGGGCTCGGCAAAGATGGAGGTTCTGACCCATCGCCTCATGAGCTGCACATGCACCGTGATGTTGTTAAGAGTCAGGTCTATGTGGTGGTTTTCTTGTATTAAAGCACTTGCCATGTCAATCTCCTCCTCCAGGCACTATCCCTTGCCTCTCTTATAATCAAAAGCTGGGTCAAAGAAACAGAAGGGCAGCATTTGCCACAACTGAGCAGTCTAAGCGGGCCCCAAAGGAAAGAAGAGTCAGATCTAACATCACCAGGAGCTCAAGAGAGAAAATGGCGGCACTCACAAAGGAAGAAGAGTGTCAACTGGAAAGCAACCCCCATGATTTGGCCACATTATAAAGACAAGGACTTCATTCATCATCAATATTTATTGGGCGCCTATGACGTGCAGGGCACTATGCTAGGCGCTGGGAAGATACAAAGATAAACCCAACAAGACTGCCCTCGAAGAGCTTACAGTCTAGCAGAGGAGCATACAGTGTCTGGAGAAGATATTTTAGATGTAAATTACCTCCCCCCAACCCCAGCCCACCAAAAGAAAAGGAAAAAAAAAAAAAAAAAGGAAAGAAAAGAAAAAGAAAGACAAAAAGTTAAGTTTCTTAGACTTGGTTTCATCCATTTTCTTTTCGTGCAGCGGCTTCACATAAAAAGCAGAAATCTGGAAGTCTTTTAAAATGCATACTTTCACTACTAAACAAAATTCATTTTCATTAGGAAAAAGGCTATTTATTGCAATTAAGAAAATCCTCAAACATCTCTTCAGTATTTTCATGAAATTTTTTATGAATCTGCTATTTGTGAAGTAAACAATTTCCCAAATTGCATCAAAACACACCACAACTTTTGAAACCCATCTTGTTAAACCACTGGCAGTCACAGATAATGCACACGGGCTCTCTGCTGAAAGAAAAGCTTCTGAAAGGAACAGGTGCTGTTTACTACTGAAGTTCACGGCTTACGGTATTTCCCCTTTCACCCATTTCGTGTCAAATTCAAGATATTATAAAATAGCACCTCCACTAGCGTATACCTCAAGGATCCAAAGCTTTAGATAGAATAGTGAAAAAAAATGTTCACTATAACCTTAAAGCCCATCTCTTAGTGCTAATACGAGGCCGGCCAGACCCACCAAAGAACTGGAAAACAATTCCAAAAAAGGAAATTCAAAATAACCCACTTTCCTATTACACCCTTAGGAACTTCTGAAGTTTTCTACTATTTTCCTTGAAGCATAAAGAAACCAAACGTCATCAATCAGGGAAATATAAAACACGGTCAGAGCTGCATGTCTAGGTTAACCTGCTAGAGAAAAGGAGTCTATGAGCACATTTAGATCAATTCACTTCTAACCCCAAGTATTTTAGATTAAGTATCTTGCAATTTTTCTCCTTCCCCACTATCCTGGGAATGTCCGGGCTCAGACATTTCTAATAAGACTTAGGGTTCTGATAGTCCGAAGCCTTGGGCCTGTGTGGAGAGCACAAGACTTCTGGAAACACGGGCACTGAAGGTAGGTGGTGTGCCTCTCAAACCGAGCACGAAGCCACCTGCTTTCACGTAAGATCATGGTCAACGGACAAGGCCGCGCACCCAACAATGAGTTCCTGAGAGAGAGGCTTCTTATTCCAATGCTGAAGCATTCCTGTCCTAGCACTTTCCCCAAGTTGAGCAAAAACAAGAAATGGTTTAATTATTGGGCTAGTTGCGCCTTTCTACTTGTCTTCCTCACCCAACTCCAAGAAAGCGGGTGGGCTTGTCAGGTACACTTTAACTCAAGTAAAGGTCAACATTCACCTCTAGCAAACCCATGATCTGCTCACCACTGAGGGAAGAGGGACTAAGCCAGCGCCTGATTCCAGTCGGGGCTGCCCCGTTCTTGCACACGCCCTCCTGAATGCCCGTACCCAATTTTTCAGCTTTGACATCTACAGAGACTACATTTCCATGTGTTCTATTTGCACCTACGAGGTTAAATGTTCTGGGCATAAAAATCTATCAGAAATATAGTCCAATCAGCACAGAACAGTTATGGGTTAGTCTTCCCGGTCATCCCCTTGCCTTCACGTTACTAAGGTGCTTTCTGCTCAATCTCTCTGAACGGATAGCACAAATTTTATAGACTTGTGTGGTATATAAAAGAACCACTATTTAAGTTAGTGAGTCCGACTCTGTCATTTTAGATAAAGAAACCAAGACCCTGAACAGTTTAGTGAAAAAGCTGGGAGCCAAGCCCAGTCTGGTATTCATGATACGACAGCTTTGACTTTCAACAGGAACACATGCTCTCACATACAACAGCTGTAAAAACCACCGTAATTAAATGATGTATTTCCGATGAGGTAAATACAACAACTGTTAATTGAAACCCATTCTTAGGAAACATTAGCCCTTTTTGGTTACTGCTGATAGTGTAACTACAGTGTTTGGTCTTGCTTTTAAGGGTAATTGATTTGTAGTTGCTTCCTTGAGCATGTTTATTTGCTCAGTGTAGGAAAAAATCGCGTTCAATATGATCATACATTCAATCATGTATTATTCTGCATTTAATCTCTAAATCATTTCTACATACATCTGGATTCTTCTACTTTTAACATATGTAATATTAATTTATGCAGAGAATGAAATGAGGTATTATCTCTACATAAGTTGTTGGCAGCTTGAGGGTGTCCAGGGTAACATAAAACATAATGAAAATTGTAAGTGAATTTTGATTGGTCTATACTCTGAGCTACAGGAGAAAGGATAAGCTTTGAGAATGACTGATGTTTTAACTATCTTCCTTGCTAGGTATGAATCCTCAAAGCGATTCAATAAACTTCCGGGTTTCAGTTTCTTCATCTACAAAGAGCTAACATCTGTACTACTTACCTCGTTAGATCATCGAGGATAACACACAGTAAAAATATAGGAGAGAGAGTGCTTCTAAGTGGAAAAGCGCACCAACAAATATTATTACCCCAATAATTATTAAAATGTGGACCTAGAAACTTTTAAATAACTACCACTCATGGCACTAGGCATGCTCACAAGAACAAACGTAACTCAAAAGGTAAACCATGCAAACAATTTCAACTTTCAATGGCAATGCTAACAATTCACACAAAGATATAATACAAAGGAACATTTTTAGAGAAAGCACTGAGACACACATACTTGGTTGACTTAAGAGACTTTAAAATGAGTTAGAATGATTTACAGCATATAAAGAGGTATTTAGTCTTTAAGTGGAGAAAGTTGCTAGTCACCTGTAAGGAAAACAAGCATATGGGGCATTCCAGAGACAAATGGAATACAATTCCATCACTTCTGGCTATTTTGTAAACCAGGTGTCTTACAAATAACCATTTTAATTTTTCTGGTAACGCAACATACCCTAAAAAGAGAACGTCCACTTCTGCATCACATCCAATGTGAACCTGCATGAATGCGAGGCATAAAATACAGTTCTTCTAACTCCACAGGCACCTAAAAGTTTTAACTACCCTTCATGCTCACTGTATATTCCGTAAGGAACCATGGACATACAGGGAATACCTCAAACATAAATTTTTTACAAATCTTTATTGTGTAGTCTTGTTTTTATAATTTTATAATATTCTGGTGGCCTTTTTTGTGTGTGTTTTGCTTGTAAAATTAAGTAGCACATTAACCTTTCCCTTTCAACTATGCCTTTGATGTTAGTTCTTAAACCACCCCCCGTAAAAAAAGAAAAGTAACAACCAAATGAAGATGCAAGGGAAGAGAAAAACAAGATATGACTCATTAAGTATAAAAATATGTTGTTTCAAATTCAGAATAATTTAATAACTCTTCGTTATTTCATATGTATCTGGAAATGGGACAGATACATGACCTGATCCTGTCACAAGAGGTAGAATTCCAGCATTTGGTACAACGTTCCAAGAGAGGGTTAAAGTGACATTCCTGTTTCCCCTATAAAAAGACAGAATAAACATGTTTATTAGATGTCAGCAGAAACATTTTTAGTTCAACAAAAACATTTAACTCAAGCACTGGGGTTCAAATACTTCATAACCAGCTATTTGTAGCCAGAATCCTAATCTACCAACAGAAGTCCTCTCAAGTCTTTGAAATCCAGGAACGATGCTGGAAAACCAGCATTGTATACGCAGGCATCCCATAGTGACCTAACTAAACTCACTCACAGCGCCGGTCATTAGAGCTATGGGTCAGAAAGCTTAACTGAGTAAAACAGAGCGAGAATACAGAAGGAGATTTGAGCTAGATACCAGAAGGTGATGATTTGAAATCGAATCCTCTCCTTGTCTAGACTGTGAACAAATCATCTTTCATGGCTCCAATTTTTCATCTGCAAAACCTGAGGTCTGGTTACAACAGCTCTCCCCTAAATTCCTTTCCAGTGTTTACTCACAGAGCTTACGAGCTAAAATGACCCAAAATCTCAGTTATTCTAATTCTTTCCCTGTGCATGGAAGGAAAGGGGGTTCAGAGAAGTTAAGCACAGCTGGAACCCTCAGTGTCAATCCTGGACACACACACTACCTCCTCCTGAAGGGCCCCCTGACAAATTCATCTCCCATTCCAGAAGGAGCCCCTTCCAACGGCAGTTCCTATCTCCAGGTGGGCAAGCCCAGGCCCCCTGCAAAGGTCACAGCAGAAACAGCTAAGGGCCTTTCGCAGTGCGACTGGGCCATTTCACTTACCGCACGAGAACTCAGCGCTCATCTTAGACCCGAGTCTGTGGCAGTGTTTCTACCCAATCTTCCAGATCAGATCTCTATTTCTCTCTCTCAACTTTCCCCTTTTTACCCTCTAATCACTTTCTTAAAAACAAAAGTACATTATATAATTCTCTCCCCCACATATTTAATTACACATAAAGAATGACAAAGAACCAGGGCGCCTGGGTGGCTCAGTGGGTTAAAGCCTCTGCCTTTGGCTCAGGTCATGATCCCAGAGTCCTGGGATCGAGCCCCGCATAGCCTGCTTCCGTCTCTCTCTCTGCCTGCCTCTCTGTCTACTTGTAATCTCTGTCAAATAAATAAATAAAACCTAAAAAAAAAAAAAAAAGAATGACAAAGAACTGCTCACTTGAGGCCATTTCCATCGTCAAAGAAAAAATACTTTGTTTTCATATCTTTCAACAGCAGCTTTGGATTATCACCTCGCAGAACAATCTTGTCCCACAGGACAACTTGGTTCAGAGCCTACATTAAAATGAAAATTAATTAGATAACTCATCAGAACTTACAACTCTGTCACTTCAAATTAAAAGCAGTGCTATGCAAATACCTTAATTTACATTAATGAATACACGTTTTCAGGGAATTGCTAAAATCCTAGAGCGTAACAAAGTAACAAGTGGATAGACACAAGAAGTTGAACTTTTCTGGGACAAAAGATTATTTCCCTAAAGCAAATCATTGCTTTTGCTAAAACAACTGTATTACTTAGGACCCTCAAAGCTTACTCTAAGGTTTTATTTAGACTCATGCACTCCAGAGCGGGGCCCCTGGAGAAACAGAGGGATTAGAATCATCAGAAAGCAAGCAAGCACACTCCTAAATCACTTTTCCCCGTAAAACTTCTGAGACCCTCCAGTCCCATGTGGACTCTGAAAAGTGTCGGGAAACTGAGTCAGCTACTCCTGCTCCACCATGCTCCTCACACAGGTCTCTGCGGCCAGATTAGGTCAGGAATATCTATGTATCTCCAAGGTTAACATTACCAAGGAATCACTAAAGAAATGAAGCCTTCTAAATATTTTTCCTTTACATTAATCATAGACACATCATTGTTTTATTATCGAACGTTCTAGAAGTCAATTCTTTTTGACACATCAAAAACAAGTTCTGTTTGGAAAATGAGGAGCATAAAGTGCAGAGAAAACACATCTGTGACCACTATTAATCCCAAGAAATCTGTTCTTAGTAAGCGATCATCCATTATTTAACCTGGAAGTCAGTTGCTCAGCATGCGGTGACTACATTCGCTGAAAAGAAATGTGGACATTATTTCTAAGAAGGTTCAAATCTTCACCACAAAGCCTCTTTCTAGCATAAAACAGAAACATCAAGCCTGAAGAATATATAATCTAAGATATGCCAAAGTGAAATGACTTTTTAATACACATTTATTCCTTCACCAAAGCAATGATCTGTCAAGTTCCCAGTCGTATTAACTTACTAGTCACACTGGGGTAAACCAGAATTATGAATATAATTTAGATATACCTGTCACCAAGAAGGTAACATATTAATTCGAATAATCTGTTGAGAGCTATAGAATGATATGTGTGTATACAGTCATTACTCTTACCTTCAGAATAGCTTTTTCTATATGTTCTAACATTTTGTTGATTCTCAAGGGCAGGGTTCAAAACCTACACAACCCAGTAATCCTAGGGCCTAACAAAATATTTGGCATAAAAGACATGCTCAATCAAAATGAATGTAAAATGAATTGAAGTACTAAAAATTCCAGTTAACTAATCAAGCCAATCAGCAGATAAAGTTAATTTTTCATCCCTTGAAAGTAAACATAGTTCCAATAAAATACAGAAGTAGACTCATCTCTAACTACAAATCACCTCTAGACTACACTGATAACAAACATGAGGGTGAAAACAACACAGAAGCATATTTTAATTCCATGGATTTCACCTTCATATTTTAATTCATTTATCACAATCGTTCACTTAACACTTTCAGGGATTTCTGTTTTAGCAACATCCTATATAAAAATCTCAGTCTTTCTGGGGCGTCTGGGTGGCTCAGTTGGTTAAGCAACTGCCTTCAGCTCAGGTCATGATCCCAGGGTCCTGGGATTGAGCCCCGCATCAGGTTCCCTGCTCAGTGGGGAGCCTGCTTCTCCCTCTCCCTCTGCTGCTCTGCCTGCTTGTGTCTCTTGCAAATAAATAAATAAAATCTAAAAAAAAAAAAAAAAAAAATCTCAGTCCTTCCTCTCATCTGCAACAAAAGCTCTAAATCAGGCTGAACCAGTAAATTTCAATCACAAATTAATAATTTTAAGTGTTTTAATCTAATAGTTTAGTAGCTTTTAATGACAAAACTTCTGATAAGCTCTAGTTTATGATTAAAAAGACTACTTGTAAATCCTGAAATTGGTAAATCCCATACAGTTCCAAAGCAAAGGAAAATATTTCTCAACAGATGGAGATGTTAATTGTGGCTATACGGCTTAGTAAGATGATCAGAACAGCTCACATCAAAAGAAAAATACAAATATTTAGGCGGATTTTAAAATAACCTGATAGGATTAAAAAATGTGTTATCTTTATAGTTTTTTATTACATATATGGATAATGAGAGTTGTAAACACAGGTCACAGATTTTGTTGATTCAAGCATCTTGCCATCTTTTCTCCAAAGCTATGGAATGAATACTTCAGCTTAACAAATCCTATACCCGCACAGCAACTCCACATCCCCATTTCTTAGTACATTCCTAATTCAACAACAGCCTTTCTGAGCTTATCACTGGAAATGGTACCGAAAGATTTGAGCACAAATTATTTTGAGCACAAACCCAAAATATGCATTTATTTACAAATTCTGTACATAGTACACATCACTACTGCCATTAGACGATGTATCACCACTGATAATGAAAGTAAATTTGCATTTCTAATAATATTCCTGACCAATGTTGAATTTTCTCAGCCAACTTTGTATTAGATCTTTCTAGGTTCTCTCTTTTTCTAATCCATTAATGTGGCCAAGCAGCTCCAATGAGGAACACACACATCAGCTCTGCCGTGTTCCTGCTGCTTACATGTGGTTGAACCATTTGTGTTATTTGCAGTGTGCAACTTCTCTGCAGGAATGTTTTTAAGCCGTTTTTCCATTTTGTGAGATTTGTTTATTTAAAACTATGTAACATCACCCACTGAACTGGATTATACTGTACAACTTTATAAAACGCTGAACTTGAACAAATAAATTGCATGCAGCATGGTCAACCATTCTGCCCTACAGAATTCCTCCTCTTCCCCCGGAGAACCTGCACGCTGTCGGAGACATGCGACCGTCTGACCACGGGACTGAGCATATGAACGTCAGTCCATATTGCAAGTACTCATACAGTTTGGCTTCTTTCCCTTTTATTTTTAAACAAAAATATATAGCTAGAGTTCTCGTTTCCAGTACAGATCAGGAGCTTGGCAGTTGCCACTCCATCTTAACATCAAGTGAAAAGCTAATGAACTGAAAAACTGGCAAGTCTTCCTAACTCTGTAAGAGAAGAAATAATAGCTCTTAGTGATTTTCCTTATATACCTACAGATTTACCCTGCATGCACCGCATTCTGGGGATAAGAATACTAGACAGCTATAGTAACAGAAAAAAAAAAAAAGGCTACCAACCAAAAGAGATGTTTTCTTAGTAGTCACCTCTCCAGAGGCTTAGGATTTTTACTGAACGACTCATGTCAGATATTTTGAATATGTAAGATTTATATCCTTTCATAAAGAATGAGATTTTAAAGATTATTAAAATACATCTCTCTCTCTCTCTCTATATATATATACTTACATTATTTTTAGTTGAATATTCTGCTGATAAATAAAGAAATAACTGCTTAACATTCCAATCAAATATATTCTCTAGATGTAAACAAATTAAGGAACATAAAAATCATAAAGCAGCAAACAACTTCTAAATCAATCCTATTTTTAATTATCCACAGCAATACTAATACTAAAATAGAAAAAAGAGAGGTGGCTCAGAAACATACTGAGACACTAGTTTAATAAAAACACATAAAAGACAAATATATTATAAAATCTCATTTCAAAATAAAAAAAATATGTGTCAGTGCTAGCATCATTCCCCTGTGCCTCTAACCATGATTTAATAAGAAAGTAACAGAATAGTACAAAATTTAGCTTTCTGTAACATTAGCCAAGTCTAAAAGAAAGAGGATTTAATCTCTGAGGCATATTCAATTCCACGGAAGTTCTAAAGCATAACCAATCATCATAGTTTAAATTTACTGACAGACAAACATGAATCAGCTCATGTAATTAAACGAAATATAATAAATGTTCATGTTGCTTTTGAGCCCAAGCCAACGGAGATCAAAATGTCTCAGTCCACAAAGTGCTTTGGTAAGAATATGCAGCTGAACGTCAATCCAATTTCCTCAGCTTACCAGATTGCAAAAAAAAAAAATTCTCAATGATTAATTACAAGACTGGTGTCACTGCAAAATGAAATGAATTAAGTGTCTGGATTTTATTAAGTATCATATGTAAATGGCTAAGTCATTTCATTACACGCCTTTATACATACTGATAGCAACATGGTCATTATATTCTGCTTTTAGAATTGAAGTCTAAGATAGCTCTTTATAAAAACAGGCCCAATTTCAAGTTTTAGCAGCAGCATTAAGAAAAACTACAAATGATGAGATTGAGAATATATAAATACAGCAGTTGAGATGTCAGGAAATTTCACTGTAGTTCTCCAGATAAAAGTTACTACTTGAGGAAGAGATCCAAACTCCCTCTTACCAGACTGTTTTAAAATGACACAAAAACTTAAAAGCAGATATACCAAGTTTCCCATAGGACTCTTCTGACAGTTACACTATCCCCTCACAAAGTGCCTAGAGAACTAATTTCTAGTCTACTTCTAAACCCAACACTTTATTTCTAAAAAATCAAGTTAAAGTAATTCCATGGCAGTCAAGAGCCCTATCAGGTAAACTCCCCGGGATCGTCATCTGCTTCAACTGTTCAGACAGTGGCTTTACAGAAGTCCGGACAGTGCAATCACCATAGCCAATTTTAATCCTGAGGTCTTAAAAAGGTAGGTGTGATCAGACGACATGGCAGAGAACAATGCTGCCAACATATTAATCTAGGACCATAAAAGATTACGTTGGCCAAAATGGACAATTATCAAATGGTGGAAATTCAAAAGAAAAAGATTAAATCATTCCCATTTTAAAGTAACTCTTATAAACGTTAAGATTTCTCTTGACTCGCATTATAAAAGTACTTATTAAAAAAACCATAATGGCAAAATTCTAATATGGTTTGCAAATAATCATACTGACAATAACCTTCTAAACCTTAACAGGTGACAATTAACTTTTTTAACATATGTTTCTCTCTGCTATCATGAAATATGGATCTATTACTTGGGATTGTACATGAAATAATCAATCTAGGAAGGCTGAGCACTGCTAACATTTCTCTTTCTATACTCCAAACGACCTGATTCTATTTTTTTCTTTCTGAAATATTCAAACTCTCTTCAAGCTTCCAATCTGTTTAACGTTTCTGTGAAAAGTTTAAAATCGGTTCACAAAATAATAACTGAAGAATCCATAAATAAATTTTCTCAAGTGTGAATGAGGAGATATTAAAACTATTTTACTAATGGAAATATACCTATAGAAACTTCTAAAGTTTGGTTGATTCAGGGGACAGTGAGACTACTGTACCTCCCCCAAAATCACTAAACAACATGCATATCATTATACCACTACAGAGAAGGCAATAAAATATTTTCTTAAAGGATATCAGCAGTTATATCAAACGTAATGAATCCCAGATCACTTCTTTCTCTAGGTCCAGTGAAGTCTTCTACATTTTTTCTAAAAATAAAGATAAAAGTTTTACCATTCTTCAAACATAACAGCACACACAATTCACAGTTCCTTAAAGTGAAAGACAGGATCTTGTTGGAGGCACAGGTGGAACGGCAAGAAGTAAAAAATCAGAGACACTTAAAAGCGGGAGAAGAGGATAAAACTTTTAATCCTATATAAAAATTAGGTCTGTAGCTACAGCATATACCTTAAAAGAGAATCCCCAGCAAAATGGGGGGCAGAGTGTGAAAACTGCTGGAAGGGAGTGTGAACACTTGCTGTCAGTGAGTCTGGTGGCGGGGCAGAAGGTCACAGAGGACTACAGGTGGTGCGGGAAAATTAAGATGAGATGGTAAGTGCTGCTGTATTTACTGGGTGCTTCCTGTGTGTCTGGGAGGTCCAACGGTGAATTTGCCGTAATTATCCCAAATAATCCTCACAACAAGCTTATGAGTTGGGTATTATTTCTATTCTTAAAAGGAAATTAAGGCCCAGGACGATAAGAAACTTGCTCAAGATTAACAACAGCAAAAAGTGCCGGCGTCTACTTGAATCTAAAAACCAGTATCTAGCAAGCAGCAGGAGAGGGAAAAAAGGTGTGTTGGGCGGGGGGTGGCATCTGGAAGCAGCATTTCACAACAGAGGAGCTATTCGATGACTGGCTTGTCGGAGACTCCGACAAAGAAATCTAGAAAACTACGGCTGAAGAACGAGTGAACTTGATGCAAGATGGAACAGAGAAGATGTGAGAACCGGGGGAAAAAAAAGAAAAAAGAAAGAGAGAGAGAGAAAGAAAAGAAAAAGGAAAAGGAAAACACCTACGTATCAAAAAATGTGCCGGCGAACACAAATTATCAAGGCAAAATAAAACCGGCATTATGGAAATGACAACGTCATTCTGAAATCCCATTTGGGGCATTTTCGCACATTTCTTCAGCCCGCGGACCCTTAAACCCGCCGCGGCGCCGGATCCGAGAGCGGGGCTGTCAGAGGCTCTAAGCGCATCCCACCCTCTCCCGCCAACTTTAAAGCGGCTGCGAGTCCGCGCCGCCCCCAAGGAGGCAGCCCCCCCGCGAAGAAGGCAGAGCGCTCGAAGGAGGCAGCCCCCCCGCACCCCCGCGAAGGCGGCCGGGCGAGAACCGCGGAAGGCCCGCACGCGGGGCCGAGTCCGGTCTGAGAGGGCAGCGCCGAGGCGCGGCGGCCGGCGGGGAAGCCGGGGAGTCGGGGAGCCGGGGAGCGGCCAGCGGGGAGCGGGGAGCCGGGGCAGCGGGAGCCGGCCCGGGAGCCGGCGGGCGGGCGGCGGCGCGGCTCTGCTGTTGTGTTGCTCGCTCATTGGCCGGGCGTGGGCGGGGGGAAGTGAGGAACAGGAAGGAAGCGGAGGCACCGGCCTGAGGAACACTCAAAATTAAAATTTAAGAGCAAGCCCGGGAATTCGCGGTGGCGGGGTGGGAGTTCGAGGGGAAGTCGAGAAGCCCGCGACGTCCCCCGGGGCGTCCGTCCTCTGGGGCGCCGGCCGCTGAGGAGCGGCGGGCGGGGGGGGGGCGGTTCCCCGGGGCGGCGCGGACGCCCTGCCCGCGGCGGCCCGGCCTCGGCGCCCACCCCGGCTCGGTCCAGGCGCCCCGCCCCGCCCCGCCCCGCCGGCCGGGCCTCCGCCACACTCACAGCATGATCCGCGAGACGTGCAGCCGCACCGGGACGCTCCTGTCTTTGAAGGCAGTGGTAATGAAGCAGCCGAAGGTGAGCGCCGCCATCACGCTCAGCGAGAAGGCGAACAGCGAGTTCGCCCGCGACAGCACCGTGTTCATCGCGACCGTCTCCCCGGAGCCCCGTTCCGCACGCACACCAGGGACCCCGCTCCGGCCCCGGACCGGCTCCCTGAGATCCGCGCCGCCTGCGCCGCGCGCGTCCCGGGAGCGCGCGCCGCCGCGGCCCCGCCTCCTTTCCGGTCCTTCAACGCCGGCGAGCGCGCGCGCACCCGCCTCCCGGACACACCCACCGTCCCGGCCTATCGCCGCCACCAATCAGCGACGAGCAAGGAGGGGTGGGGTTTCTCCACGGAAGACCCGCCCCCTGCCCTCGCTTCCTCTCTTCCCGGCCCCCTGGCTCCCCTACCCCAGTTTCTTGGTCAGCATGGTGGTCAGCCCCGAGGCTTCTTGAGCGCTGCTGTCTCATTAATTTGCACTTAAATCCGGCAGCAAGGCCAGGTAGTTTGGAATGTATTCTGAGGCGTCGCATATGTAAGCAGCACTTCACAAAACTCTTCTCCTTTGTCAAATCTGGTCAAAGTTGGAACAGTTTTTTGGAGGTTATGGGGCAGGGAGAAAGAGAGGCCTCCCATGTCCCCAGTAGCAGTTTGCCTTTCCTTTACTTTCCACGTCCAGCCTTAGTCCAGTTCCTACTAATGCTTTGCCTTCCAACTGCAGACTAAACCTATTTTAAAATTGATGCTACCAATTTTGAATATTTGCATTTAATGGGGCATTTTCAGTAACTAAAAGAATGGTTTCATTGGGTTTTTAGGATCAAAGGAGATAATTGCTATGGAATTGCTATACAGCACAATGTAGAAAAATTTTAAATTAGCAAGCGGTCAACACATCATGGCCTCGCGTCTTGGCTTTGCACTCTGGTTCTTTATTCCCCCGGCCCTCCTGTCTCAGACTTGCTTTTTGAATCTGGCCATTCAGTCCAATGCCTTTGGTCCTCCTGTGTACTTGACTATTTGCCTGCATGAAAAGGTAGCTCATTTGATGACTGCTGCCTGCTCCTCATGACATGCCAGACTAGTCCACTGACCATCCTTGAGGGGGTATCAGAAATTATACCAGGGATCGTTGGTTCCTGAGGATCTATACCACACCCTCCCAAGGAAAATGAAGATCAAGGGGGCCCTTCCATGTTCCCTAGACAATCAAAGACATCCAAATTTGCTGGGATTCTTCTAATGGTTTAGGCAGTTAATGTCCAGCTTCTCTACTCACATCACCTAGACCCTATGCTTCTAGGAAAGTGAGAGAATGTTAGTGAAGCTTTTGGCATTTTCTTAGTTAAAGAACCTAATCATCATTGCTCTTTCTGGCCTCCTCCAATTTACTCAGAGATTCATGGTTGAAACTATATCTCGTACACGGCCATGGTAAATATCTGGTCACTGGAGAACCCACATACATCCTGGGCATGCTAGTCCCACCTGAGTAATCAGCCTCAAGGTTGGCTTTGGGGAATTACCCCATTATAATACATTCAGACCACTGAAGCTCTAGGATAAGTAAGATCTGAAAATTCAGACCATGCCTGATGAGGTTTATTACCTTCCTTAACTCATTTGAATAACCCTTATTCTAGAAAAGTTTCTAGATACCCATTGGCAAACAGAGCCAGCTGTATCTGGAATGGAAATGAAAGGGGGAAATAGTTAAGGGAACTGTGTAGAAGGGTTAACATAACAGGTCTGAGACTTCTATCCTTAGAAGTACCTGCTTGCAAGATTTGCCCTTCAGCATCCTGCCTCTGAAGGCAGGGGCGATGAAGCAGCCGAAGGCGAGCTCCACCTTCACGCCCAGCGCTCAGCGAGAAGGCAAAGAGCGAGTTTGCCCACGACAGCACGGTGTTCACTGTCTCCCCCCAGGCCCTAGGAAATTGGCTGGTAAACAGTTCCCTGCACAGATATAAAACTTTTCCTAAATGATTAAAGTGACTCCCTGCACCGAAACTGTTAATTGAAACAATGTGCTTTATGCCAAACACCTGCTTTCCTTCTGGAAGTTTGGAATGGCAGATGGGATCTACACGACCCTTCCCAAGTGCAAACCCTTGGCACTGAATCTAATGCTTCCTAGGAATTAAGCACATCCACTGCGACTCCAGCGGGAGAGAAGTCTTTGAAGCTTCTGCCTGGTTTCCTCCAGACTTCTTCCTGTGCACATTTTCCCTTTACTGATTTCACTTTGTAATCCTTTTACTGCAATAAACCTTGGCTGTGGGTGTGACTGTATTCTAAGTCCTGTGAGTCTTTACACAGCAAATCACCAACCTGAAGTGTTCTTGGGGAACCCCAACACAAGGACTATCTCCCGTTTCATAAATTTTAATATAAAAATGGCCTTAAGGATTTCTACCAAAATCTGAGAAAACTTAGCCCATTCTATTCTGTTAAGGGGAATAGTATGAGTAGTGACTTTTTTTTATCCTAAGTCTTATGATTGTGTTCTGTGTTTTGTTCAAGATGGTGTACTGCTTATACATTTTGACCTATCATGCTTTACATTTATTGTACCTGGTTTTCAGATTCTCTTCTCCTCTCGGTTTCCCGGTGCCCGTGGCAGGCCCTATATGTGCTCTTAACTCACACGGACACATCTTGACCTTGATTTTCTACTTACGCTTGATCTTACCAGTTTTCTGCTTTTACACACGTCCACTGCACAGGATGAGATGTTTTCACTACTTGTTCTTAATCATGGAGCCATTCAGTGTCTTCATCTGCTCATCTGACCTCCCTCTAGGGGGAAGAAATCAGGCAAAATCCGTTATCTCAGTCAAGTATATTTTTTGTGTGGATTTATTACTACTTTCGTGCTCCTCATTTATATATGCAAGCTGAGAAGAACTTAAAATCAATCTATAACAGAGAAGGTTAGCGAACTCTGAGTAAAACCAAAAATTACTTTTTTCTGAGAATTTTAACTACTGAAAATATCTGAAAGGTTAAAAACCCATATGGGACTCTATTATTTCATCTTAGTAACTTACAAAAAAGGAATAAGAAAATATCTGAATTCTTTATATTCTTACTTTGAAAGGTCTATTCTGTAGGGGAAAAAATGTTTCAGGAGAATATAGTAGATTTCAACTCCTGAATTCTGGGATATGTTTAAATTTTTTACTCTATTACACTTCTGTGAATCCTTACATCAGAAGGAATAGTACCATTCAAGTGATGTGAATATATGACTAAAACTGAAATTCTCGAAGCACAAATTCTGCTTCTGTGCTTTAATCATGTGTCACATTGTAAGAGTTAGTCATAAGTGTAGGGTGTTCTAGAGCAGATGGGGAAGCAAAGGACGTGTGACCTGGCCTAAGATCTGTTAACAGATGCTGAGAAAATGGTCTTGCCATATACCCTGATTTTACCACCCAGTGCCCCAGTGGCGTTCCCAGGACAGTGGTGACGTAAGCAACAATCAGCATACCAGATGTGAGTTGCATATGCACTCTTAAGGTGTCTTTCTGCTTTTGCGTTGCTCATTTGTTTAAGACACATTTCACTCTAAGTTACCACAGTTAACAATTGGTAATTTTTCTGACAACTTCATTGGAAAGATCCCAAGTGATTCCTTGGAACACCAACTGATTCTTGACACAAAGATCCCTAGAAGAAAGCAGTGACTACATCATGTCTTCCTTCTTCTCTTAAACAAGATAAAGAAAACGCAAACCTTGAGCCAACTCACAAATTATGTTTCTTCACTTGCTGCTTTCATTGAGCCTTTGGATACAGAGGTGGATACAGAGACGGACATATATGACACTTGTATTTCCCTTTGGTTCAAGAGCTTGAAGTAAACTTTTAATTCTTCTAGAATTATAAACCTACAATGGATGGTTTTTTTAAAGTAAGAATTATTGTGTGTAACATCTTTTTAAAGTTATTTAAAAGTTTAGGGAGAGTTGCTGGAATAAAACATATGCATGATGGATATCTGGGAACATACCTTGACCATTGAGTTTAATTCTTTCAGAGAGAATTCTTGGTAAATCTTTTCACTGAAGTTGGGTTTTCTGGCCACATAATCTTGACATATTACATGCACTCATTTAGGCTTGATTTTCTGCTTGTAAGAGAAAAACCCCCTGTTGGCAAAATTACAATAGAGGTAGTACTCAGGCATTGGGCAGGGAAATGGTAATTAAACAAGTGTGTCCATGAGAATATAGAATGCTCATGGGTATTCAGGGTAAGACTCCCCGGTACTTAATTGAATAATCAGGCTGAACTTAGAGGTAGAGACTATGGCAGATTCTCAATCCTATCTAAGATGGGGATGAGAATGGGAAGGGAATATTATAATTTGAGGGTACACATGGCTCAGAAAATCACTAAGGAGGCTTATGGAGCAAAGCTGCCACAGCTGGGTCCCAGATACCCCGTTAAGGATCTTTGATAAACGATGCTGCATTCCAGAGCACAGAGGTATTGATACCGTTGATAAGCTTTCTTCCCATGGTCAGGACTGAGTAAACAGCTACAGAATTGAAACTGTAGGTTATAGGGCAGGAGGTTGGGGTGGTAGGAGGATCATCTGTTATTGCCATAAGAAGCTTGGAAACAGGACCAGAAGGAGAAGATATGGGGAACAGGAGGGCTGACATTAAATGCCTATTTTGATTTTCTGTTTTAAAACAAAATATCCATGATTATGTGAGGTCCATGAATCAAATCTCAAAACTTTTTTTATGGAAGGATAATTACAAATTTCAAACATAACTCATACAAATAAAAAATGAGCTGTTTTTAACTCAATTATTCTGTGGACTTTATCAAATGTTTGAAGCTTCTTTTCAATTTATTTGCACATATATTATTTAATTTACTCTATAATCATACGGCAGGTACTATCTTAATGCAAAAGATACTTTTGAAAATTTTCAAATTCAAATAATATCCTATTATTGAATTATTCCAACCACGCATTCTGCAGAACATAGACCAGCCTGTAGTACAGGTCTTTTCCTATTGATTAAACACATTTTGCTGCCTGCATTATATAAACTATTGTAACACCTGAATCATGTAGAAACTCAATAAAAGGTAGCTTGTTCATATCGGCACTGCGAAAAGTCAGTTTTATCTAAACATACATTTTGGAAGTCAAGAATACTTGCTTTCAGTGTCATGGTTATCCTTCCTCCCCAAGCTTTCATGTAA